AGCGTTATACACGTAAAATTAATCCTTTTTCCGTTATTTGACGTTGAATACATCGATTTGAGTATTCCCCCAAAACAAGTCCCCTTCCACTAACCATATTTCGCTTTGTATAGGACGTACAACACTTTTCAAAAGACTATTTTCTTTGTTTATAAGCTACATTTTTGTTCATTACAATTTTTTTAATAAAATGGGTAGTTTTTGAGTTATTTGCGAAAAATACTTTGAAAAAGTGTTTTTTTCACTCAAAATTTCAAGTTTTCAATCGTGAATAACTAAAATATTGATTTCTCGAAAAAATTCTTCGAATATTTTTTGAATTTTTGCTCAAAATTTGATTCTCTATTGATTTCCAGCATTATTTTTGAAAAAAAAATTTTCACCCCTGAGAAGGGGTGTCAACCCCAAACAGGGTGGAAGCGTCAATCGGCGCTATGTCACTGATGTTCATTGACCTTTTCTCTAACTATCTGCAAAATTTCAAGTCGATTGGTTCAGTTTCAAAGAATTCGGAGGTGAAAAGCTTCAATGACTACTATAATGAATTTTGCTAATATTCCCAAAAGAGGGTAACTGCATTGAAATTTATTACAAATATGTTTTGAGAGAAACTGACTGGTCTAGTTTGATTAATGTTTGAACAAATTGTAAAGGATATGCTTCAAACCAAGAATGTTTTATTACGATTTTAAGGTTAGGATTTTCTCGCATGCCTACTTTTCAATTTTTACACAGAACATGCTCTTCCTACTCCAAGTGGTACCTACTAGGATTCATTATTCTTATTTTTTTAAACATCCTGTAATAAAATTGACAATAGCAATCACGCTCTTCCTACTTCTAGTGGTACCTACTAGGATTCATTATTCTTATTTTTTTAAACATCCCGTATAAATGTGACAGTAGCAATGAAAGTCTGAAGAAAATAATTTAACGCATACTTTTATTTTTCTTATCAGACAACTGCAAGCTCGTACGTGTCCAACCAGTCTAGTAGCTATGTAAATAATCAGTCGGGCAATTACAACCCGCCCAGCGGTAACAGCTACCAGAATGCGTACTCCTCCAACAGTTCGTATCAGTCCAACTCGAACTCCGGGGGATTCCCCTCAATAAGCCAGGCCAACGCGTACCCCTCTAACAATCAGTCCTATCCCCAGAATACTAGTCAGTCGGTATACGGTGCTAATTCAGGTGAGTCCTGTCAGTATAACGTTAAATTTAACGAGTACGACAGTATCGCTTCTTATGTCGCTAGGATTGAACAATAGCTCAAACTATGGAAACACCTCTACGAGTCAATACAACAGCTACAGCTCGGGGAACAGTCACAAGTTAGTCAAGGACAATGCTTACGACAACAGCTCGAGTACGGCGAGCAGCAGTCAGACCACGACGACCAGCAACGTTACGTCTTCGGCTGCGCTGTCGCTCGCCCAGACCACGGTCAGCGGCAGCAAGACCACGACATTAGGTAAGGGTAAGTTAGGTTTTGATGCTGTATCATACTTTGCTTCCATTAAAGCGCTTTTAAAACTGCACTTTTGTGAATTTGACATCCTTGGAGTTATTCCGAAAGCATTTAAGGGTTTATTTTGTGACTTTTTAACTTATAACGATTTCTATTAATGCGCAATATGAATTCATATTTGATGTCCAACAATATTAGTTTCAGGTTTGCCCCAAGGTTCTTGTTTGGGACTACTGTTGATTAATAATTTTTTAAATGATTACACAGCCACACAAAAAAAAGTGTACTTTTGTCTGTATGAATGTTATCAGTAGTATTTTTGCCTCCTGATCACGAATCTGGTCTCAGGATTGAGCTATCACATCACAGGAATTTCCTAACCTCAAAAACAGGTTAAAAACAGCAAAAATTCACGAAAAAGTGCTAGGAAATATACAAAAAAAAAAAGTTTTTCTATATTCAAATGTTCATTTATATGGTTAAGACCCCGCCGACCGTGAATCCACGGTCAAAATTGATGGTTCTTTTTCTAACCTCAAAAAAAAACGGCAATTAAGGTCAAATATCACGAATTTTCAAAAAATAACAGATTCATGCCAAATTTGGTACACGGGGGTTTTCGGGGTTGCTGATCACGGATCCGAGGTCAATTTTGCAAAATTCAAGACGGCGAATCCAAGGTGGCCGAGCAAATTTTAAATAAATAACACATTTGCGTCAAATTTGGTATATGGGGGTTTTCGGGGTTGTTGATTACGAATTAGAGGTCAGAATTGCGAAATTCATTTTGTAATATTTTTGTTTACTTTATAACCTAAGTACCCAATCATGTTTTAACCTTCTTAAAGTACAGGGTGATTCACTATATTTTGACCCTCCCCCTTTAACTTTTTTGTTTTAAGAGTTATAGAAAAATGTGTAATACAAATGTTGCACGATTTTTTATGAAGTTTTCGAGAATGATAGTAGAAAAACAAATGAAGTCCAAACAAAATGGCCGCGGATGTTAACTTTGTTAGGTTAAATGGAACACCCTATATATTTTTACATATTTGGATAGAACGTTCCCTGTAGAGCATAGCCATATAGGGTTTGTAGAGCTCTAACAATAAGCGAGATAACAGGAGTAGTATGGGTGGACTTGCTTTTGTCCAATTACTGAGCGGTCACCCATCAAAACCGTCCGACTATAAAGCTGACCATTCCCACACGAAAAGTGTTCAAAACGTCCGATTACTGGAAATGTCGGACTATTGAACGTCTGATTAGCGAGCGCCTACTGTAGTGGGAAAAAACATAATCATCATCATTTTTTCAACATCCTCAAGATTCTGTTATTTGATTTTTAGTTTGTCTTAAATTAAAATTCATAAGGACATTTTCTAGATAAAAGGGTAATATTGTGTATTATCGGCATTTACCTGAGGATGTCAATATGAATCGACGAAACATCCAATCGAGAAAAACAACACGAAATAAAAACCGTAATACTATACCATCAAATTGGTAAATTACCACAGAAAACAAAGATATAAAAGTATTCTATTATCAGCTTTGAAGTATCTTACCCGCTTTCCAGTTTATTCATTACTTTATTTATTTTTTTTTGTTTTCTGCTCCCTTAATATTTCAATTTTATAATTTTATTTTTTAATACTTGTTCTCTTTATTGTTTGCCATCTCTCTTTGGTTGATTGCAATATTAAGCAGAAATCGAGCCCTAGCTAATAGGTGAATAAATGATGGATAAAGGACCCCGCAACTATCCTTATGGATAGTCGAATGGTACGAAACTTTGACGAATGATAGTATGTGTCGATCAAAACAGTCCATGGGACCTAGGTCTGAAAAACTACTATTCTGAAGTTATCGAATTCACGTGCTCGATGACCATCAAGTCCAATGATTTACGGACGAGTAAAAGCAAATATTTCTTTATAAAGTGACCAAGCTAACTATTTCTTGATATATTTTTGTGTGCGAATCCGTGGTCAAAATAGCTGTATCATCCTTCAGTCTTCAGAAAATCGGTGAAGCACCTACTGCAGAACAGAGATAGCGACACGTACTGCTTGAGCAACATCTTATGTTTTTACGTATGCTGATAAACCATACAGCCAGCTTGTCACTTTATAAAGAAATATTTGCTTTTACTCGCCTGTAAATCATTAAACTTGATGGTCATCGAACACGTGGATTCGATAACTTCGGAAGGCTGTAGCTTCAGAGCAGTAGTTCTTCAGACCTAGGTCCCATGGACTGTTTTGATCGACACATCGAGAACTATCATTCGGCAAAGTGTCGTACCATTCGACCGGGATCGATTTTCCATAAGGATAGTTGCGGGACAGTTATCTGTAAAAGTGTATAAACCATAACTTTCTTTTAGCGGCTAAGAATTCAAGTAGTGTGGTTTCTAACATACCGCCGGGTGTCGCTCCGGTTATGAGTACGCCGTACATTATGGGGCAAGTGCCGTATTTCCAGCAACCGGTTTACTCTTATGAAGAGATGCAGTTGTTGCAGCAGAGACTTCCCCACATGGTGAGTACTCGATGTTCTGTTATCTGTATTTATAGATCATGATAATATTTACAACTTTTTCCATTTTTCCGTTTGGTTTTTTTTTTTTTTACCTTAACATTTGAAGGAAAAGAATAATCTGAAAAATTAAACATTTAAAATTAAACTGTGTATCTAACGTGCAAAAAATTGAACAATCTTGAGTTCCTATTAACACCCTCCCATCAATGCATGACGGCATAACTTAGTAAAAAATATTTAATAATTTTTTGTAGATAAAAATATCAGATCTGTTAGTGTTAGATTTAGAAGCACAATTTAGTCAAATTCAGCATTACCGCAAGCTACTGGTATATTTGCACCTCACAGAAGTATACAGGGTGTCTCAGTTTTAATCTATGAGACTTCGGGAGTAGAGAGTACAACCAAAAATAATGATAGGGTGTTAATAGTTAAAAAAAAATTAATTTACTGTAAATATCTTCTGAAATAAATGGAGGTATTTGAATTAAATTTAGTGTACGTTATATTGGGTCAAGTTTCCATAAAATACTGGAGGTCGTTTTCGGTGTGCAGCAAAAAAATGAAACTCTCAACGGTAAAAATAAAAGTATTTTTATTGGAAACAAGTTAGTGAAAAAGAATAAGTATTGTCAGGGCGAGCGTTCGCTGGAGAGTTGTCTTGGTGTGGAGTTGCTCGCAGGTATAAGTATCTGGTCCTTGGCGCCAATCTGCCGTGGTCCTCTTCCGGGAACCCTGGTGCATCTCGCTTTGTCCTTGCAACTATTAGACCGGTCCGGGCGGCGTCAGGCTGTCGCTTATGACGTAATTCTTAAAATGAGACTTGTGGACTTGTGTACCCACAGTATTGTAATATCAAGATTTGTGCAACCAGTGGTGGCAATATGGGAAACTCATTCAACTATTTTATAAAAAAAAAGATATTACGGTCTAAAAAAAACATGCGAATGGGAACAAAAAATTCCTCTTACATTTTGTCAATATCCATCTCTGTTTTACTGCAAATTGGAATATTTCATCTAGTTTCGACTGATTTAAATAAAAAATAACGTAACATCTTTTGAATCAATATTATTATTATTTGACTATTACAAGAACTTCAACAGAATCATTAATTTCCAAGTAAAAGTCAACTTAATTTCACATAAACGTTAAAAATTGTTCATAATTCTTGTAATGATCAAATAATAATGTTAATTCAAAAGAGACTAGTTTTTTTTATTTAAATTAGTTGAAACTAGACGAAATATTTCTAATAGAGATTTAAAGAATCCATTAGAACACAGTATCAGGCTAATTTAAAAGGAATAAGAAAAATCCAATTTGCCATAAAACAAAGACGGATATCAACAAAATGTAAGAGGCATTTTTTATTCCCATTGACATGATTTTTCAGAAAATACAATCGATTATTATTTTGCACAGGACCGTATTATCCTTTTTTATAAAATAGTCGAATGAGTTTCCCATATCTCCGTCATTGGATGCGCAAAAGTCTTGATATTACAATATTTCATGGAAACTTGACCCAATATAACGTACACCAGATTTAGCTCAATTACTTATATTATTTCAGAAGATATTTACAGTAAATAATTTTTTTTTTACACCCTGTACCTCGAAAACGGTTGAGATTTGGAAATTTTATATGACAAAGTATAATTATTTTTTGTTGTACTATCTACTCCCGAAGTCTCATAGATTAAAACTGAGACACCCTGTATATTATAATTTTATCAAATACTGCATAAATCTTAGTGTTGTCCATTATTAGCATTAAATTTTTAAAAAATAATAAATTTGCATTAATTAATAATACATTAGAGGAGGTATAAGTAATGTCTTATTTTTTGTAAATATATTTGTTAATTTTCATTTTACCATATCGGCTTGGGTTGCTTCTATAAAAAAGTGGGTTTTGCATTCATATCACTTTATAGCTTAAGCTTATTATTTAAGAAAAATGCAGCACAGAACTTTATAAAATAATAATTGATGTTGAATAATTTAATAATTTTATTTGTGCTCCATTTTTATTGCTAATGAAATTTTAGCAACGAAATATATGTCTTATCTATTTTCATTGTTCATTGTTAATAAATTTCAGTGCTACTTTATATTTCGTTGCAATTTTTTAAAGATGGTGTCTTCCAATGGATGTGCTAATAGAAATAATTTGTGATTAATCCATTCGAGAACACCTGTTCCACTGAAGCAAATGCATATAACATCTTTTCACTCTCATAACATCAAAATGACTCACCCTGATCATTGTGACGTTTTGTTGTTAACCGTCCTATGTCTCACTGGCTTTGTTAACACCTTAACCCCGAATTTCTCGTACACCCAAGTCCAGACAGTTAGCCTAACGACACGCCGCCACAGTCTTTTGGTTGCTTATCGGGTACAGTCGTTTTGATAACGAGTGACAAGTGCGTTTGTGTATTCAGACGACTCCCTACTATGACATGAGTTATCAGACTCCAACGACGCTGGCCGCGGTGCGGGACGCCACCCTGGGCAATGTTGGTTACTCGATCTCAGATGGAAGGTACACGAGGGGCGACAACAACGCCTCGCCGGTCCCGTCCACGCTCTCCCAACAGACCAGCACGCTCACCCAAGGACACCAGGCCCAGCCCATACTGGCGGGGACGGCGCCACCGTACTTCTTTGCCACGGCGTTTAATACAATAGCGCCGAATTACCAATTCGGGACTATGTACACAGTGAGTAGTGGAATAGATTATTATGGTAGTGAAATTAATTGTTTACAATTTTGCAAGTCGGAGAAATTTAACAAAATATGATTTTTCTCCAGTTTTTTTTCTTTAAAAAGTAATTTATTGATTAAAAATTTTAAGTTAGGTTTTTGATCTTTGACACGGTATTTAAGATTTTTCAAACAAAATTGTTTACTTCAGATTAATAATTGTTTTAAACATTAGTTAAGTATATTAATTATGATATAAAAATTTAGGGGAGCGATTTTATTCATAAAAAATAATCTTAAACTTTTCCTACGACTTTCTTTCGAAATCTTCAAACAATATTTATTAAAGTTATGTATTTGAAAAATAGTAATGAAAGTACCCAAAGATTCACGTCATCCGAATAATCATATTTATTAAAAATAATTTAGGTACCCAAAAGCAAAATTCAGTAATTTTTTAACACAAGTGCAAAACAAAGTATAACATGCTTAAAATGTCCACCACCATTTTCGATACACATACGGCACCTTCAAATCCAATTTTCACGCATTTGCTGGAAAACACCTCAAGAAAAGGAAATAGTGGTACACAAAAAACACTTCGACACGGTCGAATCCAGATACCAACTGAATTATGTATTGGTGGTTGCTGGACACCTTAGTACCTCGTGTTAATAAACCGCCGTGCCGTTGTCACATTGCCGGATATGAATTTTATTGAATTTTAAAATTATTGCAACGCTAATTATTTTTCAGAATTAAGCATAAAGAAGTTAAAAAAAGTGATAAACATTGTGTTTTATGGTATTCTATGCACACAGTTATGTCAATATTCTTTAATTAATTGAACTTTTGTATATCAAGTTGGATATTTGATAATTTTTTTCTCGGAAATGGTTGAGTTTAGGACCTATGTCATATAAGGTTTGTTTTGTTTATTTTAATGTATTCTAGGCAGTCAAACTACTAAAACCCTATATACACACAATCAACACAGTCAGTAGCGCCTTAGCATAAATAATTCTGTTGCTATAGACGTCGACAGAAAATTGATAGCAATTTTACATGATACCTCTTGCAGAGGATATCACGACAAAAATTTTAAGAAAAATGTATGGGATAGAGTGTAGGTTAAACTAATGGTTGTACTTTTGACGATGTCTAATAAAATATCGATTATATGCCCCTGGTCACTTAAAAAACCAGTATAAAATAGTCGTCTGACTGTCTGTTGTGTTTGCCTTCAGTGAGGCATATCATTTTTTTTTCTGAAAATTACCATTTTTCTGGAATCTATTTAAATCTTTTACATTGTTAACAATAAGTATTTAGATTTTTTTTACATTGTTAACAATAAATACCTACACAAAATTTAAAAAAAAATTGCTGAACTGAAATGTCAATTAAAAAAAATAATAACTGAATTTATGTATTTACCCACAGCTTCTTGATAGCCCGCTATCTGAAATAAATTTTCAGATCAATAACATTTCAATATTAAACATGATGACACGATGACGAGACTGAGGAATAAGTTGCAAGCAAAACGAGTCGTTTTCGGCAAGTCTTTTGTCGTTCTTGACGAGTTTTCGTTACAGCTTCTCTTTCCGCAGATGACTTTGGCAGCCTGATTTACCCCGAACTTTTCCTCGAATTTACGGCGCGCTTAGGAGGGCTCTCATCCTATTTTTGTTGTTCCCAGCAACTACCAGCGGCCACCAATGCACACGGGTCGAGTAACAGCAACCAGTACCCGAAACCTGGGACGTACGGGTCAGGATACGGCAGTTACGACGCTCTGAACCAGTCGCAGGATTACACCAAGGGAGGTTATGTTGGTAACACGCAAGGCCAGAAGGGTAGCGGGGCTAATGCGTCTTCGACCGGGTCAGCGGGCAACGATCTATCTGCCATGTACGGGAAGTCTCACACAGCTTTGGGAAAGGTCAATGTAAGTAAATTTCTTGTATGACGTTTTTCTATTTCTAGTGGATTTGTCTTGGAAATTTGCTAATTTATTTTCCAGTAAAAAATTCTTGAAATAATTCTTTTTTTTATACACTAATACAAAAAATTAAAGGGTCAAAAGAATTTCCAAAATTTTTCCATGATTTTTGACACACTGTATTTAGATGAAAAATGGTCATATTGGGAATTAAAGCTCTAACATTCTAGAGTTTAGATTTTTCGGTCGAAATTTTTTAGGAGCTACGGTTATCAAGCAATTCTGAAATAGCGTGACAAAAAAATTTTTTTCCCGAGTCCACAGACTTGGAAAAAATTTTCCAGCTAACCCATTGCATGGACCAGATAGCTTGTTTATTCAGCTTCAATATCCTTTTTTTTAAATTTCGATGCAACCATTTTTCAGAGAATTAAAGGGCAGTTTCGAAAACTAGAATAAATTTTCTATAAAATGCTGCCGCAACTTTTTGGAAAAAAAAATTTTTTTTCATGTTACAAGAATTTAAAAAAAAAACAGGATAAAAGGTAATTTATGGTTTTTTTAGAAAATTGACGGCTAAATTAGAAATATTCACGAAATGATTAATATTAAGTATGACTTTTACAGTTCGACAATATACCCAGAAGAACCCTGTGAAGTTTCATCTCTATCTAGCGAACAGTTTCTTTGTTTCAGTCAAACTTTTGAAAAAAATTAAAAGGTCATGTTTTTTGAGCTTATACACTTCATAATCATGATTAAAATGGGATTTTTTTTTTGTTTTCTCACATTTTACCGCAAATAAGGTTTAAATTGATGGAAAAAAAAATGAAATTTTTTTCAGAGAAGAAGAAGGGTAATTTTGAAAAAAAACTATTTTTAAGTGATTACAGACTGTACAAAAATTAATTGGAAATTTGTCTGAAAAAACGGTATGAATTGAGGTCGAAATCTGGTTTCGGTCAACTTTAATTTTAATTTAATTAACAGAAGCATAGGACGAAAAAGCCGAATCGTGATGGAAACAATTGGATTTTGTTTTCTTCAATGTCCGGAAGGTTTTTCGAAAAAACAAAATAAAATTTCAAAAAATTTTTCAAAAATTTATTTTCATCAATTTAAACGTTATTTGCGGTAAAAATGTGAGAAAACCTGAAAACATTTTTTGTTTCCATTTTAATCAAGATTATGAAGTGTTTAAGCTCAAAAATCGTCGCCCTTTAATTTTTTTCAAAAGTGACTGTTTGAAACAAAGATACGGTTCGCTAGATCGAGATGACCCTTCACGGGGTTCTTCTGGGTATATCGAACTGTAAAAGTCATGTTTAATATTAGTCATTTCGTGACAATTTTCCAAAAAACCATAAATTACCTTTTTTTTTCCTGGTTTGTAAAAAAAAAAAATTGTTTTCCGAAAAGTTGCGGCAGCATGTTATAGGAAATTTATTCTAGTTTTCAAAACTGTCGATAGTGAAGAACAACTAAATGTTTGGAAGCATTGGATACGACCAGTAACAGAGGCTACTGCGGAACGTGTCGGAGAACCTTTATTGTCTGAGGAGCGGTTCCATCTGCCTAGGGGTTCTGATAACAGTTCCACCCCTACAAAGTCTAGCCCGAGAACAACAATGGCAGGTTAAAGATTTCTAGCGAAGGCTAAGGAAGTTCAATGTAACTCTGTAACTGGCCCTGACCAAGTACATAGGCCACTGTATAATTAAAAAAATATTATGTCTTGCTCTTTATATTTTACTTTACCTGAAGATTTCTATGATGAACGATGACGAGACTGAGGGTTGCGACTTTGCTCTAAACATTGTCTTTATCTTTGAGTCTTTCATGGTTTTTGATAAGTTCTGAGCATGTCCATCACCCGGAGCTGATTTTGGCAATCTGAATACATTCCTTATCGTTCTGAAAGTCCACGAACACGTAAATAGCAAGTTAAGGACCCGTTCAATTTCGTTTCAGTCGTACGAAAAACAAGGTTTCCATTCGGGCACTCCGCCGCCTTTCACCGGAGCCCTCCATGGAAGCCAAAATGCTGGGCTGGCTCCTAGCGGTACGGGCTTCGCCCCTCCGGTTTACATCCCTACGATGGCCCCCCATCAGCAGCACCATTCGACTCACTTGATGCAACAGCCTCTCCATCAGGTGAGTGTTGACTGTAGATTATGAAAAGAGTTGTTTAATGGATTGCGTTTATTATACAGAGTACGGCATTTATAGTGAATAAAGGTTAGACTACAGTTTACCCAGAATATCTCTTATTAAAAAGTCGTATCTTGTCTTATCAAGAAAATTAAGCTTGAGTGCACAAATAGTCGTTCATATAGTCCTGAACGAAAAGGTAGTAATTGAAACCGTGAATATTCGGCTTTGCGGACGATATTGACGCATGACTGGATTTGCCCCACGATTTTTTTGTCATTTTTCATCGCCAGTTACGATACGATGAAAAAAACCTTTCCTTTTCTGCCATTGAAGTAGTTGTTCACACATACAAAGACGCCGGTCGACACCTCTCGGCTTCAACTCGTATTGCACCCAATGTCCTTGATTTTTAATCATTCTTAATGCTTTCAAATGTTTCGAAACTGTTGTGTGATTAACTCCTAATGATTCAACAATTTCATGAAGTGATGCCTCCAATTCCTCATCTTCAAACTGTTTCGGTGCGTCGCAACATTCTTTATCTTCAAAATCATTATTTTTGAAGTGTCTAAACCAATCTTTGCATGCTGTTTGCGACAGTTCATGGTCACCGTAAGTCTCAACAAAAATTCTGTGTTCTTCAATAGCAGATTTCTTTTAAATATAGGAGTTCAGTAAAATTTCTCGCAAATACTCTGTTTGGCACAAAATTCGATATTTTTGTTTAACACTATCAAAAAGTGTTTACACTTCGGCAAAATAACACACACTTTCAAGCTTGCTGATAGTACTTCTTCATAGATGTGTTACCATCTTAAACTACACGTTTCAGTTCTGGTAATGCCAACTGTTGGAAAACAGCCAAATCTTATTCAACTGCTCGTTAAGTTTTGGCACCAAACACAAGCAATGTATTAACAAAACAATCACAAGTTTTATAAGACCCCATGAACTCGATTAAAGTTTGTGTTTTTGCAATGCTATGTGATGCTGCCCGAACACTTGTAGTCTGTCATGCTTTATTTACATAATTTTCGCAGGTACGAGAAGCTGATGCTCTTTTGCGCAGATTATTCCTAGATTTATGTGTGCGATAGCACATAATAGGCAATTATTTTATAATTTCTTGTTTCAAAATGTTATTTCTCATAATTGTACCATAAAATTACACGGTTTTGCTTTATTTATCATCAGGAATGTGGGTGTTTTTGTTTTATTCACTATAAACGCCATGCTCTGTATATAGAGAAAAAAGTTTAAAAATAATATAGCTGTTGAGAGTACAATAATTGTCATATTTAAGTTTTAATCGAAATTCATTTCAATTTTATTTATTCCATTCATTGTTTATAATAAATTAAGGGGATATATATAATTGACGGAGGAGAATGAGTCAATTTTGAGGAATTTTTTAAACTAAGAAATATTCATTCTACATTCATCGGACTGTAGGTGTTATTTAATAGGATATTCAAGTATAAAAAAAATGTTTTGAATTCATTCATCGTCAAAATGGCAGAGCTGTGGTAGAGTCACAGCAAGGTTGCAGCGCGACTTCCAAAATGGTATACAGCCTAGCTACCTGTGAAATTCGATCTGCAACAAAATATAAAAATTTTCTTATTTAAAACGTGTAGTTTCTATGTGATGTTGACAAAAATGGAAAAAATGCAATTTTGAAAAAATGGCACGCATTTAATGAGAAAAATAGAATTTTCATGCGAAATTTCTGCAGACTACAAAAAAAATATTTTTTTTCAAAATTTTCCAAAATCAGTTTCTGTCATATAGAAGGTAATAATTTTATCAACATTTCTACCAAGAGTTCAATAATTTTTGCGTAATCGTGTACACTAGTTTCGAGAAAAACGGTAAATCCCCCTTCCTATTCTATCCTTTGCAAACGGAGTCGTTCGACAAACGAGCATCGCTGTGGACGAAGATTAAAAGGGCAACTATAAACTGTAAACAAACTTGCGGGCGGCTATTTACTGAAACTCGTCCGAAAACGCTTCTATCTGCGACATGCGCTCCGAACCCAAGCGGACATGCACAGGAGTTTTTCGAATTTCGCTTTCAAACTTTCAAAATGTATTCTTCACGTACAGTTCTACTGTTTATGAATATTTAAAAGAAAATCGATTTTCTGATTGTTGTAATTTCTATATGTCCCCTTAACATATTTGTGAAACATTTTCAAGTTCAAGATATTTTATTATTTTAGATTGTGAAATGATTTAGTTGAGTAATTTTTAATATAAATTTTACTCTCAGGTCAAGTGAATGTGATCGGATTTGATATGATAAATTTGAGCTCTAATTATTTTAATAAAGCAAAAGTAAAATTAATGTTACACTTTTGTATTAAATATGTAAATATTCTATATAAAAGTGTTTTATGTTAAAAAAGTATATACCAGTAGTGTTCAATTTAAAAACTTTTCAAAATGTTTTTTATTTTTTTTTAATAAAATTTTATTTGTCTGAACTCTTTAACCTTAAATATAACATTTGTCAATATTGTTAAACTAACACGTTGAACACCACTGGTTTAAAAAATGACTGTCACCATTATTCCTTTTTTTTGTTATTATTTTCCCATACCACTGTGGCACTAATCTGGTGACAGTGTTTGTGGTTGAATTTTTTACTAATTCCCATTCCGCCTTTTAGTTATAATTATGTTAAAACGCTTGTGTTACATGCAATACTTTTCATTGTTAACATGCGATTTATAATTATTTTTCCAAAAGTTAATGTTGATTTAGTTGATTATTATTTTTATTGCATGTTTCAATTACTAGTGTGGGAGAGAAGGAAATAAAGATTTTGTTTTAATTCTTATAAAAAAAAATTGATTTCTAAAGTGTTAGAAGTCATCAAAAATTTTCCTTTAATTCCCTTGCTCCCACTTTTTTTTTTTTTACAGTAGCGGCATTAGTGCATGCTGTTAGGTTCTCTTTCTTTGGCATGTCTCTGGCCTATTCCGTTAACTTTTTTGTTTTTTGTTTTTTTTTATTCGTCAATTACAAACTAATTCTCGACCGCTGTCACCGGTCGTCGCCTAGTTTACTCTGCCATCAGCATGTGTGAACTCTTTGGTTATTTAGGTTTTGTTTTGCTTGTAGATGGATGTCAGGCACCAAGGCCGACGCGTGGTAAGTCATCCCAAGACACGCCATGCTTTTATTAATGTTAACAGTCACCGGTGCTATGTTTTTAACTCGAGGGAACCCTATCAATATTTATTTAAAACAATTTGTTAGTATCATTCAGACAGGCGGCATCTCTGAAATTGAGTTGTAACAGAAACAGAATTGTAGAGAAGTGAATCAGGCTTCGATAAATTTATTTCAAGGAATCGAATTTGCCATTCTAACATTTTTAAAATGGCCGAGATATAGCGCAACTTTCATAAATCATGAAATTTCTGGCTTGTTGAAAAGTGGATCTGCTGAAACTGAGTATAAACCGAATTTGAGTTAACTCTCTAATTCTTAAACAGCACTAGGAATTTGAGATCTTGTTCATCTGAAAAATCGGTATGTTTTATTTCAAAATTGCATTTAACTATAGCAAGCTTGTTTGACAATGACTTTTCTTCTAGTGTGAAATGTTTAAATAAATATCGTAGGGTTTCCAATATCACTGCAAATGTATTATACACACAACTAAATCTCATCTGCATGTCCATTTTGTAGTGTTCTAACAGCATGTTTGATGTTTTGATCTTCAAGTTCATAAATAAATATGAAAAAAAATAAATATAAAATATAAATTTATAAGCCATAAATAGATAAAATATAATTATTTTTATGACTGTTAAAAGATATTTTTATGAAGATAATTCATTGAAAAATTATGAATTATTTTCTTTAGGCAACATTAAAATCTGTTTTACAGGGGTCGAAAAATGCTTAGCTTATGTAGGCTAAATTTGTTTTCCTCATTTAAGTATGACTAATGAAATTTAAACCATTTGTACGAGAAAATTGTAAAAATCGGAGAAAAAAAAGCGAAAATTTTGATGTAAAAATTCCAATTTTTAAAGTTCTAGTTATCGTATGATTTTATCAGAATGAAAAGTGAATTACCTGTGTAAATTTTCATTTATTCATATTTAGCAATACTCAAAAAAGAAACATTCACAATAATTTCAACTAGAGCACCCTCTATCTCTAAAACCAAGCATCTCCGTTTCGGATGTTTATAGAACTTTTTATTTTTTTATTTTCTAGTTCCTGGCAAATTTTGGCTTATTTATTTCAGGGCGCCCTGTATATCGTAAAAAATCACTAAAATTGCCGGATAAATTAGAACTACCTGTATCTTGCCTACAATCTTTTGATCAAATTAATGGATTAAAAATTGGTTACTGCAAAACAGGTTTTAATTAGAGATTTAACAATTCCGAAAAAAAAAATTTAATTGGGAAAAATGGGAAAATTGAAAAAAAATAAAATTCAATATTTACAAAAATAGTTAAAATATTATTGGATCAAAATTTATACAGGGGTGTACCATTAGTGTGAGAAAGTAAAATAACTCCCTTGTTACTCATAATACAGAAAAAAAGTTATACAGAATCAAGAAACCTAACTACAAAATTAATTTGATACATACAGGGTGATGAGTATATTTTTACACATGGATTTCCAAGAAAATTATATATATGGCAATATAAACAGTTTGTCACTTTAGTGCGGGGTTGCTAAGTTATGTAGAAAATTCTTCAAATTTTGGAAAAAATGACCTCGAAGAAGTTGTATTAACTTTCAGCTACTAACACTTGGAACAAAATAATTAGACAGAGTTATAGGCAAATGTTAGACAAAAGCTCCTATATTAGCTAATATCGATATTTTATACACGGTATTTTTTATAATACGATCTTTTTTAGAAAGTTTAAATTTGATTTTCTAAAATTTTTCAAATGGAACATCCTTTATTTTATTGTTTTATTTTATTCACATATCGGTCCACTTCAACTTTTATTAAGAATGATCTATATCTAAAATTGTTAGTTTTTAAGATATAGCAACATTTCTGAAGAAACTTATTTTATTATTTTATAGAATACCACAAATAAATATTAACTAATAAAATGAACTCAAAATGGAATGATATATTATGAACTGACAAGTTTACACGATGTGACAGTTTTTTCCAAAGCCATTTCGTGTGACCGAAAATAATAAAAATTAGGTTTTTTCACAAATGTTGCTATATGTTAAAAACTAACTACTTTAGGTGTAGAACATACTTAATAAAAGTTGAAGTGGACTGATATGTGAATAAAATAGAACAATAAAATACAGGGTGTTCCATTTGAAAAATTTTAGAAAATCAAGTTTGAACTTTCTTAAAATGATCGTATTATAAAAAATGCCC